GGAAGGTGTCCCTGCTGATGGCAGGGGGGTTGGAACTGGATGATCTTTAAGGTCCCTTCCAACCCAAACCATTCTATGATTCTATGAAAATACCCTATTTTGCCTATTCCAAACTACAGGATGTTATGCACTGATAAGTTCAGTACAAACACATAATTCCATCTGGTTTTCTCTCTGTTGCTAGTGTAGTCCCAGTCAGATGACAAAACAGGCAGTTTGTAGCTTCCTTCTGCCCCATACCCGAAAGTTTGACACTTCAGAAGTTTCTCTACAAGGTATTTCTTTTAGCTTACTTCATCTGCCCCAATTCACGGTCAGCAGGAGGAGCAGTGCACAATTTTTCATCAAAGCTGAACATCTCTGGGTCGAATGCTGGAGGCACGTATTTGGTATCTACTCCCATGGCAGTGAAACATGGCCTCCTGTTAGCATAGGAGTCGCTGCAGCAATGTGAAACATTGTCATTTATAGGTGTGGTCTCCTGCCTCCTGCACATATCCTGAATCACAATGCTCAGCTGAAAAGAGAAGGAAAGAAGGACAAACATGAGTTACATCATTTAAAACAAAAGAAGAAATATGTAATGTTTGTGTCCCAATAGCATAGCTGGGAGTGGAAGCTGCTCAGAAATTGCATGGTCTTAAACTTTAAAATAAATATGTATTCCTGGAGTTGGGCATTTCTTAACCTGCAAACAGCCTGTCCATTGGGCTACAATCAGTAAGTATGTTGTAATTTTTAAGAAACTTTAGTTTTTCCAAATGAAAGCTGCTGCAGACCCAATCAACTTCATTTTGCTTCCTGAGGGAGGGCAAAGTTACCTAAAATTTTCACAAGCTGGCATCAGACAACTATTTAGGTTCTCATGTCCATGAAAAATGAACAGGCTTTGAATTCTGTTAGGTAGATGCTTAGCTTGGGGCTTATGAAAAATCATTGAGTTGACCATCTCACCAGAATCCAACATTTTTGAGAACAGAATAAATCTGCAAGAGGAGTAGAGAGAATAAACAGAAGTACTCACGTATCCCTCAGAACAAGGTAAGCGCCTGTCTTCAGGAAGGTGGCAGCACTTGTTACCAACGGCTGTCATTTTCTTTCCAATTTCAATCAAGGTATCAGTTGATACCTGAGGCATTTTCTTAGTGTAGCGGATCAGAAGCCTGAAAAAGACATAAGAAAATGACTGTTTGCTCAAATTTGAAGCTTGCTCTACTGAGCTAGACTACTGAAGTGAACACCAAATAAATTTGCCCAAAGCAGCCAGCATCATTGTTTACACTCAAGAACATTTATCTGAAAGTACTTACGCTTTCAGAAAGTCTTGCTCGCCATGGCTAGTGAGAAGCTCACAGTTTGTCTTGACAACATCCTGAGTTTCTTTGATATGTTTGTTCAGTTCCTCTTGCTGCAAACAAGTATAAATCCATTAGTAATGTTAGAGCAGGACATCAGGTATCAGCCATATGAATATACCTTTTAACTTCTAAATCTTATTAGCTCTAAGATACCCATTTTGCAAGGCCGATTGCTTCGATACAGCCCGGATGGTGTAGGGAGGACTTGATTCTCATGTGAATTTTAAGTTCTAACAGAAATTTTCTTAAAAAGACAGCAAGATTTTTGAAATTTAAACTATTAGCTGTTGCACTTTCTTTCTAGATAACAGGGGGTTTATTTTTTGTTTAAATCAGGTGAACGTTTTTCAAGTACAGGATTATCAACCATGAAGGGAACATCCTCTTTCTATCCCTTGGCCAAAGCTCTCAGTGACTCAACTTGTGCAGTGACTTGTGTGCAATTCAGTTGTAGATTAGGAGACCTGACTTTGAGTGTCTCTATGTGGGCTGGCCAAGCATGTTCCCATCATAATCTGTGAGCAGCCATACTCAGTAAAGGCAGTGGAGCCCATAGAATAATTCAGCTAACCAGCTATTAATCATCTTCAGGACAAGCAGAATCACTTATGAGAGACAGAGGCATCAGAGTTGAGTGAGACTAGTCTGAAATTTTGTAAGGTGGCCAATAAAATTATTCTGTAATTTGAGAAAACTCTGTATTCCTGTCATGGGCCCTAGATTGCTTCATCTCCCATCAGAACATTAACTTCCCCTGGGAATAATCTCTTAAAATGCTTTATACCTGCTCTTCCATAGCAGTTTCTCAACTCAATTGTTTCCTGATAGGTACTGACCAAGCATTCTAGTTATCTGCAAACAAAGCTTTGCACCTACAGCATTTCCGTAGCACTCAGCAGGGTTGTCTGTTTTGCAGCATTTTTCCAGGAGTGCTTCATATCCCTTAGTAATTCTCAGAATCAGCTGTGTGGAGAACTCAGGGTGTCTTCTTGAGTATTCATAAATAAACCTGAAAGACACACAAGCTGACAGAATTAGAGCTCCCAAATAACATGCTGCTTTCTTCATACACAGTGCAGTAACTGTCAATGGCAGTTCCTCAGATTAGATCAATTAAGGTGGACAATGAGTTTGGAATGCTGTTTGCTTGTTTTAGCAGAATTTTTTGATTGTTCTGTTGTCTGCTGACAGGGCAAATGTGAGAAGAACCAAGTAGTTCCTCAGGACAGAATACTTCTTAATCAGATAATGTAGGTAGGCATGCACAAAGCTCTTGAATAAAGGAAAGGCACTGATAAATTCAGCTTTGATAAGTAGGACAATGCTGAACAGAAACAGTCACAAAGCATGAATGAGAAACTAGGGGTTCAACTAGGGTTGAAGCTACGTTAGTTACATTGGACTTCCATGTGGTCATCTCTTCTCCATGCGCACTTGAGACACCCAAGAGGATGTTTTTTCCAGAAGTGCAAAAGGCCGTAGCCCAGAAAAGACGGGGTTGAAGCTACGTTAGTTAAATTGGACTTCCACGTGGTCATCTCTCTTCTCCACTTGAGACACCCAAGAGGATGTTTTTTCTAGAAGTGCAAAAGGCCGTAGCCCAGAAAAGACAGAAGATCATTTTCAGGAATGTTTAAATCCAAACACGTATACTGTTGGCATTACTTACTCTGACAAGAATTCGTCATGGCCTGCCTCAAAGCTTTTGCAAACTTCCTTATCTTGTATGTATTTTTCAACTAGTGAAGGAAGATCTTCAGGTTTGTCATCAAAATCTGATTCAATAATGCACTGGCTTCGTTCCACAACTGGCTTCTCACAGCATTCTTTGATTTTACTTGAGAAAACATCTTGTTTAGAGCATATGTAGGTCATAAGCTCTGCCTGTAAAATTAAAACATGGTATCAGACAAGCCATGGCATAATAATTTAAAGACAGATTAATTAATCTCCTGTTTTTCAGACTCTTCCCTTTTCATTCAGATCCCCTATTTACTTAGCTTTCCTAAAGAAACGCTCTCTCCATACAAAGAGAAATAATCAGAGGGACGGACACATCCTGTGTGTGTTGAGCACAATATTCACAGGCATGAGGGGGAAATATGGTTCCCTCCCTAATCTTAGAAACTTTGAGAAGATAAACTTTGGAAAGCCAAGGAAAGTCACTGAGTGGTCTGTCACAAGGATGCCTGATTGATCTTGTCAGTCCTGTCAGGTGCCCAGCTCTGATATAGGGGAAAACCATGACAAACTCCAAAGCTTCATAAAGCCAGCACTGGATAGCAGCTGGTTTAAAGAGAGTGTCTAAGTTCCAGCTAGACAGGCAATATTTATATCATGTCACTATTGCAGTGTTTTGCTAATCTTCCTGTGCAAGCTGTTCTCTAGAGTTCACTGGTACTGCTGGGTTAATGGCAGTACACACAAAAGGACCACAAAAAAAATGTTGCCTTTTTGCCTCTGCTTTCTTTTGCTTTGTTTGTGATTGATTTTAAGTGAGTAAATACCATCAAACAATCCCTCTGATAAATGTTTTGATTTCAACCAAATACACATGCTATACTGTAAGTAACAGCTCTTTGCCCTCCTGATCATAAAGGGCTAGATGTGGAATTGTTCAAAACCTAGTTCCAGTAACAGTCAGCTGAGCTGGTCCTAAGTTTTTCAGTGGCTGAGGAACCTTCCAGCAGCATTGAGTAAAAGTTCCCTGGACTGTGAATGAACAGCTGCACAAATTATTGTCTTTCTAAACACTTTTCAAGTATGCAAACATTTCTGAAAAATACTTAGCTTACCCTGTCATCCATGCACTCTACCATGTCCCCTTCACAGCACTCTTTGTAGATACCCTTAATGTCCTGTAGAATTTTAATAATTTCTGAGAATGGAGCCTTGGGATATTTCTGGCTCAGGATAACAAGTTTACTAGGTAGAAAAAAAGAAAAATATAATTGTTTTAAGCCCTGAGTTAAACAGAAACCTTGCAAGTCACTAACACTTAAAGATACTGTAGATCAGCCTTGTTTCAACTAAATATTTGTTCTCATCTAGTTTCTGGTGGCTAGAAAAAAAGGGCATTGACATTTGCACCAGTAACCCAGAGCTCCTTTAAAACAGACAGAAACAAGTTTGTGATTCTTCTATCTGAGCTGTCTATGTAAGAATCACACCCTAGAATTCCCCATGGCTCTTGAGTGACTTGTGAAGCATCTCTAGATTACTTAGCACAGATGAAGATAGTCCTAATTAAATCTTTAAATCAAAGTTCACTATTCTAGTAAGGAAATCCTAGTCAATGTTAGTGTATTAGACTAGCCACAGAGTGAAAGCAGTTCCATGTGCTTAGGCAGGTGATCCACTTATTAATTGCAAAAGTCTTTCTCAATCTTAAAAATGCACCTTTGACAACAACTATGATTCTGACCAATCTGACCCTTTAATTGCTTTAAGGTTCAAACTAGCAACTTACTGTGCTGATTACCAATGTGCCTGTTGCTAAAAGCTGTAGGCATTGGAATGGGGAACAGCTTTGGCAAAAATGTAGTTAAAATGCACCGGAATCTCTGGTTCTGAGCAACACTCCAGCAGTTAACTCCACATCTCCTAGATTGGTTCTAAAGATGGTTTCATTTCTCTGGAACTCTCACAGCTGATCTTTTTATTACTACTCACTATCAGTCTGGAATATACGGATTCCACTTTGTGTCCAGTTTTTATGCAGAAACCTGATTAGAATTAAATTCTACATTAAAATAAATAGGCTAAGAAATTGCTGTCAGCCTAGTGTTGAAAGACTGACTCACTGATTATACATATTCTGTTGGGCAATGGTCTTCAGCCAAAAGTAAGCTAGGAAGTACCGTGAGTGCAGTTTTCAAAGCTGGCATATGGAAGTGAATTATTTATGTGGATGTTTTCCTCTTGAGTAGTTTCAGGTTTAGGTTAACAAGCCTACTTTTGATAAAAACCCGATTGGAACTTACTCTGCTTTGAAAGTTCTCTCGCCAAACTTCTGGAGGATTCCACAAGAATACTGCTGCTTCACGCTTACTTTCTTGGCTCTTTCTTTTATGGCGGCTGCCTACAGTAACAGGAGGCACATTGTCACATTAACCTGATCACATCTCATGGACTAAGGCAAAAGTAAATCTGAAAATCCCACTTCAGAAACACATCAGGCTCTGGCTGAGCTGGCTCTGATGAAAAGCCAAGCCAACTGAGAGTTTCTTAGGCACTCCTAACCAGCTCACAATCAGCATTTAACTTCTAGTTTATACACTGTACCTTATGGCACAGTGCAATACTTCAATTTCATTGAAATCCTGTGGCTTCAAAGGAGTGTAACTTGTCTTTCAAAGCACCACAGTGATTACACAGAAGTCACAGGGACTGAGTTGGAGACAAAGCAAAAGTTTGTCTCATGCCATTTTAAAGGTTACCATGAAATCTTGGCTACAGTTTTTTAAAAAGCAAAACTATGTGGAAGTCATCTGCTATTGATTCATAGGGCTAACACATGATTAATCCTGACCCTTCTCTGCAAGTTCCTCATAGAAAGATTTGCACAAACAGGAAGGTTCTACCTGTTTCTCACTCTTTCTCTTCCATTTGCTTGGGCAACAAATAGGGGAAGTGTAGGAGAGACATTCCACACCCCTACACGTTGGATGTGGTGATGGCATGTTAGGCTGCCAAGTGAGATCTGTGTTTCCCTGGTGCCTCTTCTGTAGCACCCCTTCTCGCTACAGTTTACCACAGATTAAAAATCCCAAGTGCTACATCTTATTTGGGTTCAGTGCATCTGTGCAATGCTCATAGCTGCTTGATAATGGATTAGCAAAGGGGCAAAAAGATAAGCTTAGTTACCTACACTTTGATTCTTTTGGGGTTTTTTTCACTTAAAAAAATCAAAACAGGTTTTGTTTTTTTTACCTTCTTAGTTCCTATGAAGCAATATATGAACGTTCACTGAAAACCACCATGAGAAAGCACAATTTTGGAGTTAAAAGCCCTAATTTAACATTGACCTTTTAAAGTCTCTTCTCACTTTCAAGAGAATTGCTGCTAAGATCAGAAGAGACCTTTATGTAGCAGACTAGTTGCTTAGTTTTCATCCCCAGTGAAAAAACTGATTTACCTTTTCATCCAAGCAAGTACCGACATCGCTCTCTTTGCAACAGGTTTGAAGTGCATGTTCATAATCAGCAGCCAAACTGAGGATTGTCGGGGCATACAAGAATGGGTTTCTTCTTGCAACAGTGTAGATGAAACTAGAAGGAAAAGGAAATCATAAGTTAGGTATTCCAATGATGATAGCAAATGGCCTTAAATCTCATACAGCTCCTGTAACTTATATTTCTAGTTTAGAAATGTAATTTACTTTCCTAATGTAATGCCCACTACTGCTAAATGCTAAATCCATTTCTGAAGCAGGACTCAATAACAATGATGGAAGGATGAACTTCTTATATTGTCAGCCACTTTGTTTGATGTACATAGGCTTTTAAATACCTTGTCAAATACCTGAAAATTTCAGATTTAGAGTGTGAAAAAATTAATCTATGTCCATTTCACCACAATTCTATTGCCAATTTTTTTTACTGTTATCTTTATTCATCCTTTCCAATTACAATGGGGGTAGTGGAAAGCTGGAGCAAGTAAATTATTCAATCAATATTGGAAACACGGTAGTTTTTCAGGGGTTTTTTTGGGGGGGGAGGGGGGAAGTCCCCCAAGATTTATAAACTGTGATCCTTTAAAGTCCATTTTTGAATGTAAGAACCTGCTCTAGCATGGAAAGAAAAAAACGTGATCAGAGCTTTGGATATTTAATGCCTGAGCAACTGTTTTATACATGTAGATATGAGATTGAATACTAGGAACTTTTTCAAATGTCCTGCATGTCCCCACTGTTTGTATAGCTTGGGGATTCCTCTTCTGCAAGACTAAATACTTAAATAGTACAAAATGGCCATTTTTCTTACTGTCCCAGCAATGGCACCCGGTTGTCCTGGTACTCCTTGCATATCACATCAGAACCTGGTCTTTGGTAGGGCTGAACGAAGTCTGGTTGAGGAATTTTAAATGACAGGAAACATTCATTTCTTTCAGGATCATCTTTAGCACAGCAGTCAGCCATTGCACCGTATGAGTCACGGAGCTTTTCTACTTGGCAGATTTCATCCAGGAAAATGGAGGGCTGTAAGGGAGATGTTGAGGGTCAGAATTATTGTTTATAGAAAGTTTAATACACATTCTATTTATCTGTAAAAGAAAACCCAGATTGAAAAGTAAATACATTTTTACTGGATAAGAGTTAGACCATAAATCAGAATAACATGTTTTTTTTCAGCAGTTTCATTAAGTTCTATGTGGTCCAATATCAAAACAGTTACAATGCTTTATTGAAAAAAAATATAATTATCATTTAAAATACTCTGTGCAAGATGATCTCCTTTTACTTATAATCTGACTCAACTGAATTTTCAGATTAATTGAAGCAGGACTTGATATTCTACTTGCTGATCAGCTTGGGAAACCTTTAGGGAAAACTAATCTATATAATTTTGTCTGAATGCCAGAGGTCACAAGAACACAAGCACCTAACTTTCTGAAGGGCTGGGCTGAACCTGCTAGATATCCAGGGATCTTACATCCCTGGTCACTTTAATACCTAGAATTAGGTCTGTATTTTGCATCTGGAGTATTTGTACTAAGTGCTAACGTTTATTTCCAGGTAATGGTAAACTTAATGTGCCAAAGTGGGGAGTTTGGGCTCCAGTATGTGGCTCCACAGATCATTTAGGCACTTCTGAAAGGCAGAGTTTCGAAACCTGACAAAAACAGTGTTTCAGCACTAAAATCTGAGCATTGGCCAATGACAACAGCAACACCTGAAAGGATCAGGTATAAACCCTCAACGAGGATGATTCTGGTAGTTGCATAGAATGGGGAGAAACACAATACCAAAGGATTTACTGCCTACCAGTGGTTTTGTGCACTCAGGAGCATCCTCATTGGCCACACACTTCTGAGCCAGATCAACAACATCCTTCACCAGCTTAGACAGTCCGTCATAAGAACATCTCTGGAGATACTGGGCAAATGTGATCATGGTACTGAAACACAAAGTACATTTTGGAATATGGAAATAAAAGAATGTAACAGTCAATATTTTCAAAGGTGCTTCTGGATTCAGAATTACTTGTTCAAAGTACAGGCACAAACACTTAAACAGAGTACCGTGAAGAGCACAGTACCGTGTCTCATATCCTTCTTACTTCCTTTCTGAAAAATGTTTTTAACCTTACTTCCCAAGAACAAAAGTCTTGAGTAATAGATTATAAACAAAACAGAAAAGATGGCGATTTGAGTTTTCTGCCACTTTTATCGGCATATTCGTAAATGGCATAAACGAAGCTGACTTTTGCCATTTTTACAAATGATCACAGAATGTTAGGGATTGGAAGGGACCTCGAAAGATCATCTAGTCTAATCATCCAAATGATGACCTTCCAGCTGCCTTCTTTCACAAAAAGTTCTGTTCCTGTCAGGGCCCTCTGCCATTCCTAAAACCAGTTTCAAAACAAAATCTTCTCTCGGAAAACCTGTCGTAGGTTTCTTTTTTGAGGTTGGTGGTTTAATTTTGTTGGTGGGTTTTGTTTTGGGGTTTTTTTGGGGGAGTAATGTCTCAATCCAGCACAACTTCTCTATCCAAAGGTTATCAGAACTGTGTTACTTGTGCCTATTTTCTTTTCACATATGGAACACAGGTTTGGAGGGAGTTCTTTTTCCAGAGATTTTTGAGGGTCTTGGAATATTTGCAGGCTTTGTATGCGAACAGGAAGAAGGTTAACTCAATGCTGTGTTTCAGTGAGATGTACATGCTATTCACTAGCTCATATGGTGTGTTTTCATTTCCCCTTTTTGTTCAATATCAACAGAGATGGAAAACAATCTGAAAATGTAAGATGAACATTCACTTACACTGCCTTAAATGTCTCTTCCTTCAAATCATTGTAGCGATGGGCAATCTCGCTCTTGTGCTCTAGGAAGAAAAACAAAGAGAATAATGATGGTCACTGTCACACTGGCTGTGCTAGACCCCTTAAAGAATTTGTCCTGGGCACCTTGGGCCAGATTTTCAGAAGTGTTCAGTGTTCACCCAGCTCTTATACGTAAGGAAGTAATATCCTTGCTTTGAAACAGACCAAGCTAATGCTGAGCATGTGTAAAATCCCACCTTTGGCTACACTGCCCTAGGTATTCTGTACTGCTTTTCTGGGAACTTCAATCTAAAGCTTTCTTCAGGCTACCTTGAACTCTTTGTTATCTCAGATGATAATTCTTGTCCATTTGTCTGCAGATACCTAACTCTTATGCACGTTCATCTGTCTGAAGGAACCCAAACATGTTAATTTTAGGATTCTAATACAATGTTTACCTCTGTAAGCACTGATTTAATTCAAATATTCACCTTGACTGCTGTGGCTTACTGTTAAGGGTTAGCAAACATGTCCTTTGGATAACCAAAACAATGATGATACACTACAAATAAACAAATGCGGGTGCAGCTCAATGAGAGCAAGCATTAGTAGAATTGTCTCTTTTTGAACACAAAATTATTAGCTTGGCAGATTAATATTCTTGTTGCACCCAATGCCTATCATCTGTGCTCTTGGTGAGAAGGAAAGCAGATAAATGCCTTCACTTGGTCCTTATAGTAATAAATACAGGTTGTTGTTATGCCTTGCTCGTGGTGAGAAGACTCCCACAAGATTTTCCTAACAGATACTGAGGCGTACGGCCAACTAATGAATGAGCCAGAATGGGGCAGTCGTTTTGTTCTAGAAATACCCTTCAGGAGCATTTAGAAAACACAAAGAGTAATTCCTGTACTTAATGGAGTATATCTGCTTTACTACTAAGGGTTTCAGTGCAGAAAATTGCAGTTGAAAGATTTATTTTTTTCTTGCTGTTTGCTGGCATTTCCAGTCAGCTCCTGAAAACTCACTTTTGTTAAAATTGGGTATTTTCATGTTTCAAACAAAAATAAAAAATATCAGTAGAAAAATATCTAGGACTGTCTGCAGAAATATTTGTTTTACTAATATCCAGAGTTTTATAATACAGGGAAAAATGGCACACTGGGGAGTTTTCAGTTAGCTGCCTCATAGCCCAGACTGAGAAGCAGATTTTTGACCTACTCGTGTGAAAACTGTTGCCTTGAATTGTTGATGAGCTCGCTTATGAACTACCACTCAAAAGACAGCACTTCTAAAATCACAGTGCATCTGCTTTCTTCGTGCTGGAAAGTAAGAGGTTCTGAATAATCGACGTCTGTTCGTGCACTACACTGATACTGCAAAAAGATGTCACCAAATTTCCTCGCACAGTTAAATTGTCTGGAGTGTTCTACCCCTCTCCTCGACATTTCTTCATTTTGTTTCTTTTCAAATCAAACAAATTTTTCTGTTCTCTTTGGACCAGGCTTGCAAGAATTGTTTGTGAAATTGCATTCAAGTCATTAATTTGATATAACAAAGACTGCAAAGACAACTAATTAGTTCTTTCTTACCTGCGTCTCGAGCAACTCTTTGCAGATTCCTGGATGTAGCAGAACTAAAGAGGAAAATAAATGAAATTAATGTTACCCACTTCATGGTTGCAGATTATGATGTGAGCTAAATTGCTCAGAAATGCTAGGAAGATTGTAAGGAAAGCATTTGCTTATATATCCTTTACTACCTGAGTCTGTAAAATATTAACCATAGAGCTGGCATTTGTAGATTTCCATTTGGTCTGAAGAAGATTACAAAACTTGGACTGTCCTTGCCAAAAATGAATTTGATATTATTTGTTTATTATGTGTTACTCTGGGCCTTTTTGTCCTAAAAAGGTTGAACCCTCCAGCACCCAAATAGATAAAAGATTTGCGTAAATTTCCTTATCAAATGACAAACAAGGAGTTCAAGGCATCAGACAAAAAAGTTATCAAGTCTAACCCTATAGCCATGCTTGCTTTTTTTTTTCTAATATTTGTCCAAAAGCAAAGAAGCAGGTTGATATTGTACAGTAACAATTCACCCAGACAGGACTCAGTCCATATATATGACTGTAATTAGAGAATTTTGATTTTAAAGAACTTTACAGAGATGAGATGGCTCATCTAGACTGTGGTATAAAAAATAGAGATTGGTAAAATATGGCAATAAGCACAAAGATACAGGTAAAAAGAGTTTCCAATTTCAACTGGCTTCTGAGCTCTTAAAGAAACAGAAGATAAAAGGGTGGAATGGGTACCAAGCAAACCGAAATCTCTCACTATTTGTAGCTCCAGAGTAGAACAATTTAATGCAGACAATGGATTTGTGTCAGTAAATTGGAACTAACACTTTTACACTGCATAGGATGGCATCTCATTCCAAATTTTGGGACATGCACTTAGGGTAACACCCAAGAGGAAGGCTGCTGAAAAGGCCAAAGGGCTGATTTGAGCACCTGATTTGTTAGGTCCTGTTCTGGTTTTTTGCTATTCACCAGGATCCAGAAAACTGCCAAATACCCATGTAAACATTTGGAAGAGCTCTCATTCCATGGTTTTTGCAATTCCTCATTTGCACCGATATCCTCCCAAGAGTAATGTCTTAATTAAGCACCGCCCTTCTCTTGGAAAATTTTCTATTGATTCTAGGAGATCAGACACAGGAAGAATTGTGAAGTTTTCACAGAGCCCCAGGACATGGAATTAAATGGAATTTATTTTTCCAGAACACTCAATGGTAGACTTCAAAGAAAATAATGAGTATAAGGTTGGGTCCTTACTGAGTAACAAGTGATGTAGTTCCACAGTGCAAAATACTATGATTTATGAATTCAATGAATTTCTCAGGTGGCTGGATGTCAACCCGCACAGCTATTCTCAGTGTGTTGCTGGAGGTCGTGCTGTGCCTCACAGCTCATTGCTCCTGGTAGCAAGCACCTACCTGGTATAGCCTAGAGCAAGGTCTACTAATATCTCCTTAGTCCTTAAGGTTCCCTTTTCTACTCTGGTTTTGTATGTTTGTTTGTTTTTTCTCAAGAGGGCAGTTTTACTACAACTCTGTATTGTTCCTACTGTGAGTAGTGTGTATAATTTAATTTTCAGTTTTCTGGAAATTTGACAAAATACATAAAAAAAGACTTCACTTTGTTTCTGCACTTGAGTTTTTAAACATGTCTTAAATAAACCAAATTACACATCTAAGCATAAAATATTTGCAGGCACTTTTCCTTTAGGAAAACATCAAGGCAATGCATCTTGTCTTTCAGAAAGACGGTTTGGTTCTACGCTAATAACCACATAAAGCTTAGATGAGTTTAAAGATTGTTTTGACAAAATGAAATTTGTACTAGCTGCTACTTTTGCAAAGAAGTTTTGCATTTTCCCAGGTCTGCTCCTTGTATCTTTGTAGGTGAAAAAAAGCATTCTTGTTAGTGATCGAAAGGAACAAGTGTTTATTTTGGGAATTGAAGGTTACCTGGATAATTTTTTACATGAAGGGTGGTGGGGGAAAGCCAAATTTGCAGAGGAGCACCCCGATTTTGTCGTAATGTTGTTTACAGGTGGTTGTAGCAAAATCTCATCTTTCAGGAGAATGATGGGAATTATAATGACCAATGTGGAACTTTCAGATCTGTGTTGCTTTAGTGTAACAAAATCCCAGGAAAGAACTGGTTAAACACTTAAGTCTATAATTGGTTTTACTGACCATATCCCTCTGTCAGGAAGAACCCATCAGTAAAATATAGATCTTTTTGATTCACCTGTAACCTTCAGAATGGCTGAAGACTATCTAGCATTTTTTTGCACAGTCCCTTAAATCAGTGACATTTGGATATATCAGCATTCTGAGTATGGAAGCTTCTGCCCATGTTTTGCATTGATTTAAAAAGTGAGAGATGGAATGGGGGATACAAGGGCTTAACAATATTTATCCCAAGATCTCAGATAAAAGGAATGCAAGGAGCTAACTTGGTAAGCTGACAAGTACCTTTGACCCAATGAAAGACACTGTAAAAATGGAATCTAAATTTCCTACGAACATCAGCTCCATTTACCTGCATCTCGAACATGTATCTTCTTTCAAATCTTAACAGAGCATTCGGTGAGATATAAGCACACATTTAGGTGTCTTGCTGATAACCATAAAGTGACAGTAAAATGCAGCCAGACTGGAACATTGTCCAAGCCAAAGTGATGAAAAAATGTGGTGGTGGCAAATCACGCCTTAGAACAGCTACGGAAATGCTCTGAGGCTGTATCAAAGCAGTCTTCAGGAAACGCCAGCTAAGGACTGGGAGGGGAAAGTATTTTCTGTTAAACTGAAATTCAGCACACAAAAAAGTCTCGATATATAATGTTGCATCTTGAAAGCTATCTGGAATTTTCCCCTGCAGCATTGTGCAGTGTTAGCAAGAAAACTACTGGTCCCCTAGAGTTAATATGTAAGTTTGTAATACAGGGTCCATGTTTATTTCTAGATATCTTCTGTTGTCTGTCCTGTACTTCATGCCAACATTTCATATAACTGCTGAAAGAGAGATCTGAACTCCAATACTGCTGTTTGTTTAACAATATTAAATATTATACTGAGCTTCCTGTTACTCAATTCTTCCGTACTGCCTTGAGTACGCTTTCAACAAAGTTGTCCTAGTATTAAAGAAAGGAACACATCCACTGCATTTTAAGAGGAATGTGTTTTCACGCACATTTATGTCTAAAGTTACAGATGGTAACTAATGTTATTTCAGATGTGGGGGACCAAAGGACTGTAATTCCAAGAATAACTGACCTGGGAAAAAAAGGATTATAATTTTAAATATTCCATCATACCATGCTGTGCACAGTGAAAGAGTAGATACAAAGTGGGTTACTTCATTCTTAGACTCACGCCAGAGAAATACTTCCAGGGATACCTATTTAGGGAACTTCTGTTTGCATGTGTGCTGTCTGGATCCAACATAATTAGTAAGGATGAAGAGATGAAACGTTAGAGCCATAGCTCTTAAGGAATTTCTAAGCCATGAATTTTACAATAACACCTCCTTTATCAGAAAAAAAAAAAATCACCCATTCACCTCTACGTTTAGGTGGTTTGAAGGAGATTGCAGGCGAGTGGAAAGCAATTCAGAAATTGAAGGGTAAGCTATTCATATTTCATTGGGATTAATGTTCCTACTGGAAGTTATTGTTACTCAATTCTTCATACACGGATCAAAATGTACTAAAATTGTATAAGACTTACGAATAACAAATTTGATATATCATGATAGGAACAACTGCTACAGTGCTTTTGGAAAGTAAGTCCTTTTCAAAGTGATCTCTCAAAAAAACAAAGGCTTTTAGTAACCTTCTAATTTTGTGGCCCTCAGTTTTATTTACTGCTGTTTCTTCTTTATTTTCAAAGACCAAAAGTTTTGTGTGAATGGACTGTGAGAGATAAACCAAACCTCGAGACGTTCACGTGCCAGGATCACAACTACAGCCAGTAACTGCAGTTCTGTTTTAGAGGTGGTTTTGTTCTTTGTTTTGCTTTGCCTTTTTACATATCTAATAATGACACGAAAGAGGGCAGCCAACCAGCAGATTTTTTTTCTTCTTCAAAATGAAAAATAGTCTTCTGCCAAAGCGGATAGAACCAACAGAAAGAATGCTACTTCTCATCTGTCTGCAGGTGGAGGTGAGATAATGCTGAAAAAGATGTTGCCATCTCCTATTTCCAGTTCTGTGCCTACAGATATGTGGCTTAGCTGTTTTGGGGTTTTTATTTCCATGGGACAGTAGCTCATTTTTTAAAATAACTGTATATTATCAGTATATTTCTAAATAAATGTCTGTGGCTCTGGACACATGGTCAGGCACCAGTCTTTTCTTGCTCTGGTGCGTTATGTTTGCTATTCTTATCACTGATGTTTGGCTCCCATGCAAAACAAGTCCAATATCTCAAACAGATATATGCCTTTTATTTGAACAGAGATGGACTCATAGATACAAAATGAGCAAGAAGGCCCATCTGTTGAGCAAACATGAACATGGAAAGGATTTGATCACTGTAGCAGAATAGGCAAAGACCTGCTAAGGTGTAGCTAACAGTATTCCATGACAGGGCATATCTTCTAGGCACGTCCTCAGTCCTGATGCTAAACCAATCATCTTGGGTGATCAGCCACTCATCTGCAGTTTTACAGAGGTTTCTCTCATTAAAATAAGCATTTATAAATCAACCAGAATGACTATTCATAGTCTCACTGCACCTACATGATTTAAACACCTAATTCCTATAAGTTCAATTTGTAATGTATTGTCTTATTCCTATAGTCCTCTGCTGGAACAGATTTAAGACCACAAATCTGCATCCTCAACACCCAAATAGTTTTTCAAACCTGAACTTCATGCCAAAATCCAGAGCACAGACAAAAGCAGCCAGAACATGCAGTATTCGTTGCTTACTTCAAAGTGAGGGATAAAGACCTCAGACAAGGTTACACACAGACCTCATTGTCCCCTCTGTCTTCTCCATCAAGTCCATCTGGAAAGCAGACATTTTTAAATTTATGCTGAAAAGCAGACTGAAAAAAGTAGTTTTCATACGTGTATGAAAATATTTTGTATATGTTTTGTTATGTATGTTTTGCAGATTGCAAAGTTAATTTGATATTACTGAA